AAAAAAAAAAAAAAAAAAAAGTAAAAATAGTAGTATTTCTGACTTAGGAGTGATGTTTTTATTTTTGTTGTTAAATCCTTACCACAGGACCAAAGCTCTACAAAGAACCCAGTGCAAAATCCAATAAGCATATAATACAAAATGCTTTAGCTCATTGCTGTTTGGCTGGAAAAGTAAATGAAGGTCAGAAGAAAAAAATACTGGAGGTAAGCATGTTTGCATGAGAAGTAAATTTGACAAAATTCTAAAACTATAGGGGTCTTCTCTATCACTTCAAGAGAACATACTTTCATAGGCCTCCTAGAATTTCAATAGTATATAAAAAGATTTGTACCTAGGTGTTTTAATTATTAGATTGAATTAGTTTGTTTTCAAATTGGGTTCTAGAGGACTACAGATTTACTAGAAATAGACTTTAAAATTAGTCATTAAAATAATGTCATAAAATGTGACCAAGAAATCTAACACAATTATATAAACTTTATTCAGCAAAATGTTTAAAGGTTTTTATTGTTGTTTTGTTTTTATTTTTTATTCTAAAGGAAATGGAGAAGTCAGATGCCAACAACTTCTTAATCTTGTTCCGGGATTCAGGCTGCCAGTTCAGGTCTTTGTATACTTATTGCCCAGAAACTGAAGAAATCAACAAACTGACTGGGATAGGCCCTAAATCTATCACTAAAAAAATGATTGAAGGACTTTACAAATACAATTCTGACAGGAAACAGTTTAGCCACATACCTGCTAAAACTTTATCTGCCAGTGTTGATGCAATTACCATTCATAGCCATTTGTGGCAGACCAAAAGACCAGTGACACCTAAAAAACTTTTACCCACTAAGGCATAGGAGTTGGGAAATATTTGCTTCAGAACATTCGTGGTAAATTTGCACTTCATCTTTCCTGCCTATAGAAAATCTTTCTAATTGCCAACAAGACTTTTATTAATTAAAAACGGGACATTAAGCTCTGTTGTCATGAACAACTGGAATGTAAACCACAGTATTTTGGAATGCAGAAGATTCTCGCTTAGGTGATAAGTCCAAGTGATGAAGTAAATGTTTTGATCCACAAATGGAGATTTGTATGTGTTACCGGGTTCACCTGCTTGATCTTAGATACATTGAAACACTGAATTTTCGTGGATACTAGTTGGACTTAGGTTGAAATATGGCTAAGATTACAAATTACGTGTTTTATTTGTTGCATTTTTTTAACCTTTTAATGTACATGCTTGTCTTTAGATGGTTTATTTTGGTATTTTTCTCTCCTGGGGGTTTATTCTAAGATACCTTTGTATTTTGTTTCATGTGAAGATCATGAAAGTAGGATATACACCTTCAGAAGTAACTTGCACCTTTCTTTATGATGTTAAGAGAAACACTAGTGTTTAGTTTTACAGTAACCCTCATATTTTAATGGTGTTAGAGCATTTGCAAAAATTATTCTGCCAAGCATTTACAATTCTGTATTTATTATTCACTCAAGTATTAACATTTCTCTATTAAATAAGAAGAGGTATTGTAAAGAGCTGCTAGTAGGTTCGCTTTAAACCACATGAGCTTAACCAAGAACATAAGAAGTTGCTGATTAAATCAGTGCTGTTCTTACACCACTTCTGGCCAACTCAGAATAATTTAGATTGTTCTTTTAACAAAAAAGGCTTTCTATCTCTTTAAAGTGAGTCACTTTATAAGCTGGCAGAAGTGAATGACACTTTGAGAGTCGTCTTTCAGTCTGAAGATGTAAGACTTCCTGAAACAAGTTCTCAAGAGGTCTTTATGTTATATTTATAACTGATATAAAATTATATTTAGAATTTTTAAACATGTACAAAGGGCTACAGTTTAATTTTAAAATAGCTTCACATTATTTTACTTATATTGGGTTTTTCTTCTTCTTTTCAATCCTTTTCAAGTGGAACAGCTTAGACTGAGTACACACTTGAAATCTCCTCCGCATAATCTTTGTTCTTTAACAGTGTATACCAGAGGGTTAGCTGGGGAAAAACTTCATTCTCAGGAAAAGACTTGAATGATTCTGTGACCCTGTTATGTTTCAGTGTTGTGACAACTGTGTAAACCAGGGGGGAGGCAGTACCGTATCATACATGAGATGCGTAGTTTGTTTTCTTTCATGGGAAATAGAGATGAAAAGATATACATTTCTCTAATTGAGTTGTTTAGAGAGAGAACTAATGTCTCATATGATGTAATTACTTATTTTAAAAAAAATAGGAACGAGATGTCCCTGAGCTGTACTTTTCTATTATTATAAGGCCTTTAGGCATCAGTGCATCTGGGTTATCAACATTTTCTGAAATGCTGTCAATATTTTACTGTAATTTATGTTCTTATATTTATGTATATTTGTTAAAACTGTAAAAAAAATTTCACAGATTTTTTTCCAATACCTGTGCAAGA